CAAACACTTCTTCTTTGAGATAGCCATTTAGGAAGGCACTTTTTACATCCATTTGGTGAAGAGTGAATTCCATATGTGCTGCAAAGGCTATGAGGAGTCTAATTGCTTCAAGTCTAGCCACTGGAGCAAAAGTCTCATCATAATCAATGCCTTCCTCTTGACTATAGCCTTGAACCACCAACCTTGCCTTATTTCTTGTAACTGTTCCATCTTCATCTAGTTTGTTCCTGAAGACCCATTTTGTCCCAATGACTGACCTGTCTTTTGGTTTTGGAACTAAGTGCCAGACTTGGCTTCTTTCAAACTGATTGAGCTCATCTTGCATAGCATTGACCCAATCTACATCTTGTAGAGCTTCACTCACATTTTTAGGTTCAATGAGGGACAGAAAAGCATCAAATGCACACAGGTTCTTCAGTTGTGATCTTGTCTTGACCCCAGATGTTGGATCATTGATGATGTTCTCAATGGGGTGAGAAATTAGGTACTTGTAAGATTTCCCCACCATCTGGTTCCTGCTAGATTCTCCTTCATAGTTATGCTGCAGAGGAACAGGTTCAGGTACAGGTTCCTTCAGATTGGTTCCCCTTGTCAGGTTGCCCTGGGTGAGAGGACCTGTTGCATCACCTGCTCCTTCCTTTGATGCCACTTTTACTTGTGCTGTGGCTTCAGTCAATTGTCTCACCAGTCCAATGGCTTCATCTTCATGTTCCTGTCTCTCAGAAAGAGTGTTAGATTCATCAAACACAACATGTACACTCTCTTCAACACATAGAGTTCTTTTATTAAACACTTTGTATGCTTTGCTATGTGAAGAATATCCCAAGAATACTCCCTCATCACTTCTGGGATCAAACTTACTTAGGGAGTCTTTGCCATTATTGTGCACATAGCACTTACAACCAAAAGCCCTAAGATGGGATATGTTTGGTTTTCTCCCTTTAAGTAATTCATAGGGAGTTTTCTCTACATGAGGTCTAGTCATGCATCTATTTATTATATAACAAGCAGTGTTTATAGCCTCTGCCCAGAAGCTATGAGGTAGTTTACTGGAAAGTAGCATGGTCCTTGCCATATCCTCAAGGGTCCTGTGCTTCCTTTCAACTACCCCATTTTGCTGAGGAGTCCTAGGGGCAGAAAAATTATGATCTATTCCATTTTCATCACAAAATTTAGCAAATTGTGCATTTTCAAATTCAGTTCCATGATCAGATCTAATGGATGCAAGTTGATTTCCTAATTGTTTCTGGGTTTTTCTAATAAAAGCAGTGAACATTTCAAATGCTTCACTTTAGAAGTTAGAAACAATACCCAGGTAAATATAGAATAATCATCAACAAGCACCATTACATATCTTTTACCACCTCTGCTCATGGTTCTCATTGGACCACAAAGATCCATATGAACCAGTTCCAACGTCTTGGACGTACTTACCATTTTCTTAGGTTTGAAGGATGACCTTACCTGCTTCCCCCTTGCACATGCCTCACAAACTTTGTCTTCCTTAAACTTGATATTAGGTAACCCTATCACCAAGTCCTTGGAGACTAATTTGTTCAATTGATTTAGACTGGCATGGCCAAGTCTTTTGTGCCAAAGGAGGGGATCATTGATTAACACACTCAAGCAAGTTAGTTCATTTTCAGAGAGAGTTGACAGATCTACAATGTAAATATTGTTAACTGTCCTTCCCTGCAAAACAATCTTGTCAGTAGTAAGGCTAATCACAAAACATTTTGTGGAAGTGAAAGCCACAAGGTTACCTCTGTCACACAGTTGTGCTATATTTTAAGCCATCTATCAAATAGACATTCTCAATGGAATGAGAGTCTGTCTTTCCTACCTTTCCAACACCAATGATCTCACCTTTCTTTCCATTTCCAAAGGAGACATTACCTCCTTTTAGGTTCTCAAGTGAAAGGAACTGGTTCTTGTTACCAGTCATATGTTTTGAGCAGCCACTATCCATGTACCATATTTGGCTACTTCCCTTCACTTGGTCCTGCAAAACGAAATCATGGGTTAGTCTTAGGAACCCAAACTAGTTTGGGTCCCTTTCTATGGGCAAAAGGATGAATTAAATTTTTCTTTGCCCAACCAGGCAGTTTGTGCTTTTCTTGAACAAAGGCTTTGTTCTTTTGACTGGCCTTTTCTCTTGCATTACATTCATTTTTGTAATGACCAGTATTACCACAGTGTGTGCAGATCTTATTCTCAGGAAGTGTGAGATACTTGTTTTTGGGATCCCATTTTGGAGCTTGTGTCCCAAATCCAAGTCCTCTCTTGTTGCTACTATGATGTTCTTGCAGCCAGGAGAGTGCATCGAAAGCCTTGTTCCATTTGCATGTTCTGTCTATTTCATGCTTTACCTTTCCTAAATCTTCTTTTAGGACTTTAATCAATTCATCTTTCTTGTACAGTTCATCTTTCATTTTTCCTAGATTTTCTTCTAGGGTGAGAAATGATTGATCAGCCCTTTTCTTTTCTGTCCCTAATTTCAGCTTAATATTTTCAGATCTAAGTTCTAGAATCTTATTTTCAAGTTGATGAACCTGGTTCTTCAACTCAGTATTTGTGTTATCACTCTCATCAGCCCTAGACTCTAACCTTTTACATTTTTCTTCTAGGATAACACATTCCTTAGACAGAACATCCTTCTCACTGTTTATTATTTCAGACTCATCTATGAAATCCATCAGCAGATCAGCCAGTTTTTCCTTAGACAGGAACTTAATTTTTTCTTTAAGGTGTAGAATACTTACCTCCTGTTCATCTTCTGATTCTCCGATGGCCATTAGAGCTTGATCCTCCTCAGCTTCATCTTCAGAGTCCTCATTTGATGTTTCTCCCCAAGTAGCAACCATAGCCTTAGTTGAACCTTTGTTTCTTTTTGGTTGAACCTGTTCCTTCTTCCTGTTTCTTCTTTCAGCTCTTTCTTTCTTCCATTCAATCTCCCATTGAGGGCAGTTTCTGATGTGGTGATCAGTCTTCCCACACTTGTAACACCCCTCATTGGTTTGTTTCTCAGGAGCCCTCGGTTTGCTGAATGTTGTTCCTTTTGAAGCACCCTTTCCTCTCATAAGATATTTCTTGAAATCTCTGGTTATCATAGCCATTTCATCATCTTCAAGATCTGATCCTTCTGAAATTCTGAGAGCCAGACTTCTTTCTTTCTTTGGAGCATCCATCTTCATTGTTTGCCTTCTCAATTCATAGGCAGTGAGATTTCTAATCAGTTCATCCAACTTCAAAGTAGCAATGTTCTTGGATTCCTGAATGGCAGTGATTTTTCTTTCCCAGGAGATTGGCAAAACTCTAGTTAGAATCTTCTCCACCTTGTCTTCTTCCAGGATAATCCTTCCAAGAGACTCAAGTTCATTTGTCAGTGTAGTGAACCTGGTATACATTTCTTGGATAGTTTCTCCATCCTTCATAGTAAAATTCTCATATTGAGAATACAGCAGTGTTCCTCTTGACCTCTTCACCTGAGGTGTTCCTTCATGAGCCACTTGTAAAGTGTCCCAAATCTCCTTGGCAGTAGTACAGCCTTGAATCCTGCTGTACTCATCAGGACCAAGTCCACACACTAACCATTCTTGGCTTTTGCATTTTTCTCCCATTTCCTTAGATCTTCAGCAGTACAATCTACTCTTGTCTTTGGAACATCCACTCCTTCAGCATTCTTCTTGGTTGTGGCTAAAGGTCCATCAGTGATGATATCCCAAAGCTCATAGTCTTCGTCCATTATATGGTCCCTCATTCTGTTTTTCCACCAGGAGTAGTAGAGACCATTGAAGAGAGGAGGCCTGGCAGTGGATTGCCCTTCCCAGTTCCCAGGTGGTGCACTCATGTTGATCTTTTGCTAAGGTGTTAACCTCTTCAAGGATAACCTGCTCTGATACCAATTGATGTTATAAACGTCAATACCACACAAGAGGGGGGGTGATTTGTGTGGTACCTAATTTTCGCGTTAGAAGAACCTGGTTCTTCTAAGTGTTCTAACTACAGCAGTTTGCGGAATAATAAATGCTGAAAGTAAAGTGCACAGAGATTTTTACGTGGAAAACACCTGGCTCAAAAGGTGAAAAAACCACGACCTACTACTCAGTAGGATTTTCCCAAACTCCACTAAAATCACTGAGCCAAAAACTGCATTTACAAAACTCTTTGTAAACCTAAGGATTAACTCTAATCCCAGTGTAGCACACAGCCTCAACTGTTGCAACACTTTCAAGTTAACTCTAACTTGAATACTCAATATACCTATTACAATTGCTTCTATGAAAGCTGAAAGGTACAATATGAAAACCTACTACAATTGAACTAGACTTAGAATAAACACAATGATGAAACTGATTCTTCTATCTTAGTTCATGTAGCTTCAGACGTGTACACTTGTATCTCGCATATGTTGCTTGCAAATCAGACTTGATCTTTTTGCTCTCAAATATGCTTAACTTCTGCTTATGTGCAACCACCTGTAAAAGAGAACAATCGTTATTTTTATAGAGTTAGTAATCAGAGTTTGATAAGAACTTGAATTGTGGATCCTTTGACACTTCGAGTCCAAGAACAACTCTAACTCCTAGTCCATATCCTTGATCCGAATATAATTCTCTTTTCATAAGGAGACTTCAACTCCTTATCCTGTATGCAATCTTTTCGATCAATTCAGAGGATATTGTTGCTGATCCTTGAGACTTATCTTCTTCACGCGTATGTCACATGTGCAAGCATATCAACACTGTGTCTCACATGATGGACCTGGTTCATGACTGAGTTCATTTTGTCAATCTTCAAAACTTCATCTGAACTTGGGCCAACACTATTGCATCAATTTTTGATCATCGGGAAGAAAGAAAACTACAATTCTTGCATTACTTGTTTTCTGTTGGACGTTGGGGCCTGGTGGTTCATCTCATTGAAAAACACATGGAAGTCTCATGGTGGATTCAACTTCTAGAGTTTGAAAAGTAACGTATTTATTGCTGGGAATGCAGATAAAAGATGCTTACTCTCTCAAGTTTTTTGAGACCAATTCAAGTCGGTTACCGAAGTGGTGTAATGCAGATGACAGTGTGAAGCTTCCTTTCTGTCAAATTCGAGGAAAGTACCGGATGGAACTACCTGGATACAATAGTATGGATCTATACCCCCATATGAATGAAAGATGTCCATCTATGCCTCCGAAATATTACAGACCTCAAGGTTGTTGACAAGAGTTTCCCATCTTCCTTGTAATTATCAGAGGTTAGCATGTTGCATATAATTCTTCACTCATCAGTTCTCAGGTTGTTATACAATTCCCTAGGTACAAAGCTTGCTGATGGACATATATGTTGCTCTTATTTAAGAGTTTGTACAGAGTTTGGTCTTTCAGTGCTTCTTGAAAGTTGCACGGGCCAGAATGCTAGCTTGACAAGTTCCTGGTTTTTATTTAGATATATACTGAACGATATTGGGAAAATGAATCCCAAAGAACTTGTACATATGGAAAAGAGGTGGTATTCTAAGTGAATATTAGTTGTTTCTTTCTACCTTAAAAACCTTAGAGATCTTCACTCAACTTTCCATTGTAAAGTTATCTGCTAAACCCCAAATTTCGAAAAGTTGCTCGCGAATCAAATTACATAGTTTAAAAGGATTAATAAGTGCTGAAATATGATCATGAAAAATTTCATCTTTCACATCCAATTTTTAACCTTCAAGTTTTTAAAAAAAAGGTTGTATAAATTTTAGCTGTAAACTCTGAATCTAGAAAAATATTCCAATTACAAAGATGGAGAATCTTGCTTATGCATGTTTAAAGTTTCAATTTTTCACATCGAACTTTAGCCCTCAATTTTCGAATATTTCAATAAATGTGGCTGGATGGTCAGACCTTAGAGTGTACATCTTTTAACATGAATACATCATAATATAGGGAGTATTCCCCTTAGAAGTGTGAGGTTTACAAACTCTGCTGCCTCTTGGAGAAGCATGTAGGATTAAATTTATTGAAATTAGATAGGTTTCCTGGGAGTTATTTGGATGGGAAGTCCTTGAGTTGGTGCTAGCATTGGGTCCCTGCTGAAGAAATCATCTGTACAGCATAACTTCCATGTGAAATGTGTTACTAGATAATGGATTGTGACCAAAGTTTCAATCTTCGCAAACTCGTATCCAGGACATATACGGGCTCCCCCTCCAAATGGAACAAAGTTGTAAGGAGGCAAGGATCCCGGGTTCTCAAAGCGTGCTGGATCAAATTTCTCTGGTTCTTGGAAAATGCTGCTATCCAGGTGTGTTTTAGCTGTTACCCAGAATATCTATGTGCATCCATTATGCAGTGGTTAACTTAGGATTATGCCAATCAGAAAAAAATAGAGTACTATCAAAATTAACAGGTTGAAGAAGGAAGATCAAAGATGGGGATTCTATATCTTACTTGCCATCCTTTAGGAATGAGGTAGCCTCCGTACTCAATGTCTTTTACAGTTTGCCTGAAGCCTCCAAAAATGGGAGGGAATAATCTCATCGTCTCCATTGCCACTCTCCAGGTATACTTCATCTTGCCAAGGTCTTCCCAAGTTAAGGACTCCCCAGGTGACTTACTCTGTGCAATCTCTTCTTGTTCTGTACTTCCGCCAAGCTACTTTAAAAGAAACTCGAAAGGTAGAATGACTTACATGACATTCAGAGGGGTTCTTACCTTTAAGTACAGCTGCATGAATGTTGGGATTCTTTGCTAAAAGTCTTACTATGAAAGTTATCAGGACGGATGAAGTGTCATGTCCAGCAACCATGATAAGCATGACATTGTGAATGATCTCATTTTCAGATATAAGTTGTTGGTTGTTCTCTCCGCGGATACTGAGCAAACAGGTGATGAGGTCCTGGTGGGATGAAGCTAAGTTATTCTCAAACTCATACTGTTTCTCGCGAATAAGTTGTTTCAGCATTTTCTGGACATCTTTGCTTGCCTTGAGGCTGCGGTTGAAGCGCGTAAAGGGCAAGTTTATGGGGATTGACCACATCCCTTCTATCATCCGCTGGAAATATTGAACCATTTGGTCTCTTCGCGCTCCACGTTCAAGCCCGAAAAGGAGAGAGCAAATAATGTCGAAGGTGAGTGTCTTCATTAGAGGCAATACCTACCATCAAATACCATACACGAAAATTAGTTGTAAATGTCTAAATTTGTATGCACAAATAGTACAGGTGTACTTGACAAACCTTAACTATTTGCTCACCTTTCCAGTAAGTCTCAAGGTGGATTCTGACTTCTTCTTCCATCTTTCCAACATACCGCTTCAAACTACCTGGCTTCAAGAATGATACCAGAGCATCTCTAACCCGTTTATGATCTTCACCATTGAGTTCCAAAAGGCAACGTTCGCCCAGAATCATCTTGACTGATTGTGTCTGCTGGTTACTCAGGACAGAGTCATCACTGGTAAATATAAACTTGTTAGCTGCCTGTCCATAAATGAACACAGTAGGTTTGCCAAAGAGGCTTAGCTTTGAGATAAGACCATATTTTTGAACTCTTTCCTCAAGCCATTTCTGTGCTGTGTTGGTTCTCATTGCCCTTAGCATGCCAAGGCTTTGGCCGATGATCGGTAGTCCATGGGATCCTGGTGGAACCCTTTTTGATGGCCTTCTCCTGTGAACCAAGAGGAGGAAGAATGGGAGAAGAAATAGTAAAATAGTTAAGATAATGTTCATGATTGAGGTATAAAGGGAATGAGCTTAGAGGTAGGAGGATTTTATATGATCTTCTTGTGTTGTTGACTTTGTTGGTTACTGGTAAGGTATCTTAGCTCCATACGGGTAACCTGAAACAAAAATATGCCTCCATCTGGAGATACCAAGTTATACTCTCCTATATGATTGTGTATTGTGGTGTCTAACTTGAGCGACATGTCCAAAAAGAATAGTGTTCATAAATATTAACTGTTGTGTTTTGTTTTCTATTAAAAACAAGCAGTCCAAATCAATAATGTGACAAAAGTGGCGATGATCTTTACTAAGTTGCGTGGCTGGAAGGATCTGCTTGTGCTCATTGACTATCGTTCTTATTAAATGAGGAATCTTTCCATTATGCAAAATACAACAACAACATCAACTTAATACTCATCCCACTAGTAGGGTCTGGGGAGGATAGAGTGTACACAGACTTTACCCCTACACTGGAGAGGTAGAGTGGCTGTTTCCGGGAGAACCTCGGCTCAGAGACAAAAGATCTGTAACAACAACAGAAACCAGACAAATAGTATCAGCATCTTAAGAGACAACAAATAAGTGGAAGGACAATAATGTCAATTATGAATCTGAAATCGATAATCAGAGAGAAGAAATGACGAAGAGAGAAAGAAGCAATTCTCATTAATGTGCAAAGTCTGAATAATGTCTGCACAATCTACAGTAATAAGCTACAGTAATAAATGCCTAATTACAGTGATAACCGCCTAACTACTAATTATGGTTAACTAACTACTAACTATGGTTAACTATTAATTACTAATTACAGTTAAGTTAACCTGGATCATGACCATTATATGCAGTGGCGGATCCAGGATCTTGTAGTCGTGGGTGCTCCGCTTCTTTGTTAGTCTACAATTGTTACGGTCACAACGTATAAGTGCACAACTACGTCTTACAATGATGGTAAAAATGCTTAACAAATATACTAAATTAATATTACTAGTCTTAGGGTACGCGCTTTGCGAGTGTACCCCATCTCGATGTGTAAATATATTTAAAATAATTATATTAAAATTATGTTTGAGTTATAAAATAAATATTTACATAATTTAAATAAAAAAGAATTCGTATAATATGTACAATATTAAAATTTTAAATACAATTCAAACAGGGAAGGATTTAATGTATAAAATTTAATTAATTAAAAACATTGAAATATAAGGGAAAAGTTAAATAATGATAATTATTATACTTGATATCAATGTTTTAAAATGCGGGGGCGTGAGGCGACGCGTTTTACCTCTGACGAGGCGAGGCGTAAGCCCCGAGACATGGGGCGTAAGTCCCACGGATCTTTAAATTTTACTGATTTCAAGAATTTTAAGATAGTATAAAATAAAAAATAATTATAAAAATTACATTAAAATCACGAAATTATAATAATTAATCTATTTAAAATATTTATAAATTATAATTCAACTATGAATAATACGGAAAGTATGACATATATCATAATATGCAAATTAGCTGCAAACGTCGTTGCAACTCAAACATCAAAAGTAATGTATTCGATACGAAATCTTATATGTATCTCCTAATTTTGAAAGAATTTCGATATTATAATTGGATATTTTTCTTGAAATACTCCTTTTATTTAATATGCTTTCTATTTGAAAGAGAATTTATATTAAAATATAATTCATAATTTAAATATGATTCTCTAGCATCATTTATTTTTAAGTTTCAACAAGNTAGCATGCCGAGCTAGCTGTGTAAACCTCAACTCATACTGAGTCACTGTCATACCTCCCTGAGTCAACCACTCGAACTGACGACGCAGCTCTTCCCTGTGAGACTAGGGTACATATTTTTCCAAGAATACCGTAGAGAACTGCTGCCACGTGAGGGGCGCTGCTCCAATAGGCCTACGCCTCTCGAACTCCTCCCACCAAGTAAATGCAGGCCCTGTGAACTGGAAGGTAGTAAAAGCCACTCCACTAGACTCCAGAATACCCGCAGTACGAAGCATACGCTGGCATTTATCCAGAAAACCCCGGGCATCCTCGCCCTCAACACCATTGAATGTCGGGGGCTGAAGCCTACCGAACCTCTCCAACCGATGCTGCTCGTCATCCGGCATAGCTGGAACCACATGGGCTGGAGCTGGTGCGACTGGCGCAATTGGAACAACTGCTACAACTGGTGCAGCTGGCTGAACTGGCTGAGCTGGAGCTACCCCAGGTGTCTATAAGCCCTGAACAACCTGCTCGGGTGTGCGAGCATCGGGGGGCTGATGACCACCCCCGGTCTGAGAAGTAGCCGCCGCTGTAGTAGCTGAAACTGCTTGAGCCAGGCCAGTGCAGACGGACAAGATCTGAGCCAAAGCCTCCTGGAGACCAGGAATCACGATGGGCACTGTCGGTGCCTGAACAGGTGCTGCTGGAGCATCTACAACTGGAATTTGACCCTGAGCCTGGTCAACTGGTGCTGGAATCTGACCCTGAGCCTGGTCAACTGGTGGGTCAGCAGGTGCTGTCCCTGCTGCCCTGCCTCTACCGCGACCACGGCCTCTAGGTGGCACTGGTGGTCGTCCGCCACGTACGTTAGCGCGGGTTCTCGCCATCTGCGAGAGAATAGAATACGGAAATTTCATTTTTTCATAATAACAAGCCGCACGATTTGAATTTCAAGAAAGTGAAGTGTTTCCTAAAGGTTCTGTAGCCTCCCGAGGATAGATACGGACGTCTACGTACCGATCCGCGAGACCCTACTAAACCGGCTCATGACTCGCGAGGCCTAGTAACCTAGGCTCTGATACCAACTTGTCACGACCCCAAACCCGGTCGTGATG